AAGCCCACAAGCCATGAGACAGAGCTGAGCCTCCTCGCATGACCTTGGCACAAGCATTCCCAAGGCCTGAGGGTTCTCTGAACAAGGACTTTGATGACTGCAAACGCTGTGCCTCCCTGTCTACCTGCTTCCTTCCAGCTCTTTTTGCTTAAGTTATACACAAGTGCCAAGTGCTCAGTTGTGACTCCTAAATCATATCACCGTGGGTGTTGTGGATGCAATGATTTCGACTTAAAATGCAAACATGCAAATCTAGGCAAATTAGGTCCCTGGATAAGCTTAACAAAATGCCTCACTATCCATATGCTAGCATGGTGCTCAACTGTGCCCTGTCACTTCCTCGTGCCATTTGGAAAGCCCTCTGTTGTTGCTGATAACTCCCGGAGCCAAGCGTTCCCGGCCTCTTACCCTCTGGGTCTGGTTGTTGGTCACTAGTTCATAGAGGGGGGCTGCTTTGGTCACCTCCAGCAGGACTGGCTCGGCAGGGGAGTCAGGGCTGGATGTCACATGACAGAGGGGGCAGGATGAGGGGCATCGTCCCTTGCTCTGGCACTCCATGCGGACTCCAGCTGCCATGCGCTTGGTGCCAGAGTCTGACAGGCTGGCGATATACTCTGGGAACGTCAGCACCTTGGGGTCTCTTTCTCGCTCCTCTGACTCATCGGATGGGGAGTTGCCTGTGGACACAAAATGAAAAGAAATAGTGAGAAAGTCAAAAGCTCAAGGACTGGCATGACCTCATGCCCCACCCCCAATTCTTGGCAGATCAGAAAATGTCCCTGAGGGTATCAGAATGTGATTCTGCCCTCTCACTTAATTTGGGTCACCCACCCTCTAGGCGACCCAGAGATCTACAGACAGCCCTTCCAAGTGTGAGACGCAGTTGTTTCCTCTCTGAGAAAGGTCCTCTCAGCAGGACACTTCTGCAGGACCTGTGCTGATGGCCATGATGGAGAACAAAAATAGTAACGACATGCTTGTTTTATGACTCAGTTTCTTCTTCTGTAAAGTGAGGATACTAATAGTACCTACCTCTAACATTGTGTAATGAATAAATGGCAAAATGTTTTTAAAGCATGTAACACAGTGGGTAGCATCTGTCAAACCACCGCCATGATGGTTTCAATCATAAATATAGTTAAGATTTGTGGAGCCTGTACTGAAAAGATGGTTCAAAATCTCCTTTAACCACTACACAACTCTCTGCATGAAGTTCTAGGATTATGCTCATTTTACAGATGAGAAAAGTGAGGCCAAGAGCTAATCTATTGTGAGTGCTAGAGTCTGAATCCTTGTTTGTCTGATTCCCAAGTCTTCAGGTCACAGAAGAAGAAGAAGAGGACTTTATCACTTCATTGTTAATCAACAGATTAGAGATGTAGAGAGAATTTGGACTTTTTCAAAAAAACTTTCACTCCAAGGCCTGAGAAATGGGCTGTTGCCACGTTTGTTTGATGAGTGAAAGGTAAGGAAGCTCTTGGTCTATTTTTGGTGGCAAGCATGAGAACTATCCAACAGAGAATAACAGTTTCTTTCCTATACAAGAAGGCGCTGCTTGATTTTTCTCCTCCCAGTCCTCATGATTCTCCACTCAGTTTATTCATTCAAAATGAAAATGGAAATAGAGTTGGTGACAAAAAGCACTGGGTTACTTAAGAGATTCCTGACCTCTTTTGCTACTGTTGCAGTCCTGAACATGAGACAAATTTAGAGAGAGGGCTGGGCTTTTGGAAATGATGAGCATATACACGACATTCACTCTGGTCCTCCTGGACTCATCAAAAATGTGATACTTGGTAGGCTGGATCTTTGGGGGAACTGGTTGGAAGGATTTGCAAAGTGGTTCTACAAGGTGACTGTAAGATGCAGACTCAATAACTTTATACACGCCTTCTCTCCTTCGGGGTCCAGGGAGCTCTCTGCCTTTCTCCCTCTTGTTTGCTATGCAATAGGAGCCCATCTGGAGATGTCATGAGGCATTTGGGCACTGTTGTTTCACGGGTGCCGTCCTTATGCAGATGAGGCATTTCTACCCCGCAGTTCCACTGGCATGGGAGTTCTCCTGCATGCCAAGGCAAAGGACTTCCTTGGTTACTATAAATATGGTATGCAATTCATTTTGCGTTTGCATTTTGTTAAATCATGTGCCCAGAGTTAAGTTCATGACCTTCAGATATTATAAGGGAACTCCATGCACCAGAACCAAGCAGGACGGCATCAAGTGAAACTAGTCCCCAAATCACCTTAGCCACAGGCATGTCTTGATTGATATTTAAATGTATGTAACTCAATCAACTCCGTGGCTGGAGTATTAATTAGTAAAGTGGTCACAGCTGGCCCAGGACTGGCCTCATCCAGCCCCAGACCAGGCCTCCAATCTTCAATACACTGTATGGACCAGGCAGAAATGAGTGGCCGTGGACTGAGGTCTTTGGATCCTCAGTGTGATTTCATTCATTGGGAAACTGAAAAATTGAAATCCTACCCTACCTCCCAAATCAATAAAGTTAAGTTTCTTTACAAAATAAGATTTTTTGTAGAATGTTATATATTTTGATCTATTTTTTTAATTTAATTTTTATTAAATCATAACTGTATACATTTAGGGGGTCCAATGCGATGATTTTGAAATTTCTCCACGCAAGCCTTGTCGAAGGGCTGAGGGTGTCTCGGTCGCCTCTAGGCACCTTCGACAGAGGCGGGAAAAAGAGTTTCCAGAAAAGGACCGCTAGGTGGCGATATTAAGTCTGAAATGACTTGAGAGAGCCAAGAAAAGTCTCCAGAAATTTTGTCTGACTGTGGAAAATAAACTTATGGAAAAACAACGCATGCCTATTTTAAAAATATTGTGGAGGTACGATTTTTTTTTCAGTTGGATAATTAAAAATTAAGGGATAGAATGATTGCATAACACTTATCCTAAGGAGAAAAACACAGAGGGGCATAGGTAAAGACAGGATAATTAAGGGAAAATAAAACCCCCTCCCTCAGTACCCTTAACATGGACTGAAAGTTACTTTAAAGGGGAAGTAACATGCCACCAAATTCCTTTTCTCTCTCCTTTAATCCCCAAATACCCAGAAGCTGCCCCAATCCCACTCACGCATCACTGAGGATGTTCGGGTCTCACAGACCATCCGGCCACGTGGGGGCGCTGCCACCACAGACTCCGGAGCTGAGGGCCCACCAGCCTCCCACCTGGCTCACTGTCACCCATCGCCAGGGCTGGTGATGGCTGGAAACGTTTGCAGGGTTGCTCCCCTTGCTGCTGTTTCTTGGCCATCCCAGTTAAAAATCAAGATTCAGCGAATCCCCCTCCAAATGCTTCAGCCCTAGATACTTGGCAAGGTGAGGGAATAGAGAGGAATGGGAAGGAGCCTGCGGAAAACGATGGTGGAACCCACCACCGTCTCGATTGAATTCAGAACCCTGTGCTCTGTCTCCTGAAAATCTTCCAGTCCACATACAGAGAGGGCCCTGCTGGAGGCCAAGGCCAGCTGTCCCCCCAACCCCGTCTTCAGACAGGACTAGGACAGAGCTGTCTGGAGAGGAAGGAGCTAGATTTACTGAGAAGTAACGAACAGCGAGCTCCCCAAAGCTATCTATTCAGGATCCAGCGAAGAATAGGGATGTGTGTGTGAGGGAGATTTTTCAAAGAAGAAATGCATTTCCTATGTGCAGTTAAAGATACAGTTGGGAAATACTCTTTAAAATGATGGAGTCCGGTGATGAAAGCCCAGATAAATCTCCCTTAGCCCAAAGAAAGCACCTATAACCATCATGTCTGTGCTACAGGAGAGAGTAGCTCAGGTCCTAAAAGCTCCAGCAGAGTCCCATCTTTGCCATTTGCTTTTAACTCTCCCTGCACTGGAGTGGGAGGTGGAGAGTTGCCTTGCGGAGACTCCACCTTATTTCATTTGGGAGTGAGTGTTGGTTCATCACCCCTCTTCTACCCTCTAGAGCCTGGGTGGACATGTTTTAGTGATTTGAGACACTATGCTCTTAGAAGGTAAAATAAACCTTCTATGTCAATACATACTCAGACTTTGTACATAAGAAATAAACCACAATTAAGGCCTCCAAAATTGTAACTGACAACAGTGACATCTGAGAAAAATGTCCAGGTGTGACTCTCTCACCCCATTTGCTGAATTCACCCCTTTGCTCTTAGGGGAGTCCAGTTAGACACTTCAGTTTTTTACAAGGAGAAGAACATCCAACCTGGAATGTAGTTAACAACCCTAAAACTGCAAAGGATTTTGCAAATACAGTTTGCTATAAATAAATGCCATTTGCTTTAGGCTAAATCTGTATCCGACAGCACACAGTGGATAAATTCCCCCAATAGAATATCATGGTATGAGAATATGGGCATCCTTAATGCTCAGCATCTCACTGTGGATGTGCCCAGGGCCTTCGGCATGCACGTACTGACCCACCTCCACTCAGGAGCACACGAGGGTGTTAAAAGTGAGTGACCCGTTCTCATTCAGGGTCTGCTCTGCTGCCAGAAACTGACGGGTCGTGAAAGCAACTTAGTTATTATGAAGTAAATTGGTACAATTCCTGTAGGATTCTGGGACTGCTTAAGAATCTCTCTCCTGAGTTGGTGCCCAAGGCAATGAGATGCTAATGACATCACAGCTAGAGCTAGAAGAGGCAGTTCATTAGGCAGCAGAGAAATCAAATGCAAACTAGTCAGATCCCAGCTTTTGGAGACAGCTCAGGATCCATAGGAAAGAAGGCTTGACTTGGGGTGAATGAAGCAAAGTCACAGTAGATCACACCCTGAAGCCACCAACACCTCATATCCCACAACGTCCCACAACCCTCACCCTACTCTAGTGTCCCAGCCGGGTGTCCTGGAGTTAAATGAATTCACATTTCAGTCCATCCCAGGCTCTAATCAGTCTTGCAGGATGTTTAATTGTGCCTTTGGACAAAGAGGTCGCTCTGACATTAAACTGAACTCCCAGACCTGCCATGATGACATACTTCCTGGGACCCAAATATAATACGATGCAATGGGTTACTAGTTAACCCATAAGAGGATGGAGCGTAAACTGACCACTTCTCTCTCCACCTCTATATGAGATGCTAAGTTTCCCAGGGTCAGGAACTTTGTCTTTTTCATCTTTGAAATTCCTTTGCCTAGTTTTGGTCTATCTGTCTACTTGCATCCATGAATACATTGGACTGAATACATTAAGTCATAATCACAGATTTAGAATTTCTACAAAAAAGAATGAAAACTAAAGCTTGCAACAATCAAGTAGAAAGAACAAAGCATTATCCTGAAGACAGCCAAGTCTACACCCCTAGCCAGGATCTCTCCCTCAGCTACTAGAACCGAAATAAGCTTCCTTGCATATCCACTTGCCCGTCCCACAGGCACCTCAAACTCAACGTGTCCCAAGCCGCAGTCATCATTTCCTCCACATTCTCAGCAACTGTGCCTCTTCCGGCAGGTCCTAGCTCAGCAAAAGGCATCACCAACCTCGCGACTTGCTCCAGTCAAAAATCCTGGCATTGTCACTGGTGCCCCCACATGGTCATTCTCTCTCTCTCCTCCCTTTCTGTCTCTTCCCCTCCCCACCCCATAACCTAATCTTCCTAATCTTAAATTTATATTCTTCTTCTCCCCAAAGCATCTCTCTCTCTCTTTCTTGCCATGCTC